TTACCAGTGACTGGTCTCTATCTGATTTATGGTAGGGACTTACCAGTAACTGGTCTCCATCTGATTAATGGTAGGGACTTACCAGTGACTGGTCTCAATCTGATTTGTGGTAGGGACTTACCAGTGACTGGTCTCTATCTGATTTGTGGTAGGGACTTACCAGTGACTGGTCTCCATCTGATTTGTGATAGGGACTTACCAGTGACTGGTCTCCATCTGGTTTGTGGAAGGGACTTACCAGTGACTGGTCTCTATCTGATTTGTGGTAGGAACTCACCAGTGATTGGTCTCAATCTGATTTGTATGTAGTAGGGACTTACCAGTGACTGGTCTCTATCTGATTTATGGTAGGGACTTACCAGTGGCGGGTCTAGATCTGAGTTGTGTTAGGGACTTACCAGCGACTGGCCTCCATCTGATTTGTGGTAGGGGCTTACCAGTGACTGGTCTCCATCTGATCTGGTCTCCATCTGATTTGTGGGAGGGACTTACCAGTGACGGGTCTACATCTGATTTGTGGTAGGGGCTTACCAGTGACGGGTCTAGATCTGAGTTGTGGTAGGGACTTACCAGCGACTGGCCTCAATCTGATTTATCACTCATGTTGACTATCCGTAGTGCTGTGTTCTTCAGAGCTTTGTACCTACAGAAATAATTACTAAATACAAAAGTCAGCACATACAAAATCATATAGAAATTCAGCACATATATCTCATTTTAAACTTCAAATTAGGAAAGACATTTCAGATTTTAATTTCAACACAATTTCTTTTCTGGTATCAATCTTTCCCGATTTAAATACTTTTTTATAAATGTTAAAACAGTATCAGGGCTTTCTATTGAACCTTGATACAATTTCAGAAGTCAAATAACAAACAATGTTATCCCTGAAATTTGGAAGACCAAAACACGTCAAATAGACATGACCGTTCACCTCCAAGGGTCGAGTATCTTTTGACTTTCCAAAAAGAGCTTTGGCCCTTGGAGGTGTGAAAGGTCATATAAATTTGTACTACTAGGTAGTACCTCCCTTTTACTTCGACCCTCTAATGTATAGACATATTTATTTTCAGTAAAACCCCTAATGGTACCTCTCTTCACTGTCCAGCAGACCACAGTAAGCCACCTGTTCACACATGACAAACTCACTTATCAGCCCTACAGGCTGTGAGGTACACCACAGGGTGCTGTAAACGCGGATCTTCCATTGGCAGCTTGGAATGGAGGCTCCTAACCACTTGTTCCACTCGCTTCAGTTCAGACTCAATCACCTGTAAAACAAATCATTGTCAGACAGATCACAATCATTATTACCTGTTAAACAAAAATTACAATCATAATCATGATTATCTGTCAGACAATTACATCATAATCATGATTATCTGTCAGACAAATTTCAATCATAATCATGATTATCTAGCTGTCAGACCAATTACACCATGATCATTTGAGCACAAAACAATTTTAATTAAACAAAATGATCCTGATCATCAAACAAACAAAAACAAACTTGACCTTAAAAACTGTTAAAACCCCTTATTGCACATCTACAAATCACAGTGCATCACTATGTCAAATTTAAACAAGAGCACCACAAACGGATGCATAATACGCCCGTCTGACCCTATCCAAGGATTTTTGTTTGTTAAATTAAATCCATGTTGTCCTTGTTAGACCCATCATGAACCTACATGCCAAAAATTAGGACAATAACACATGATCTGACTGATCATGAACTGTACACAACTGAAGAAACCGGCACCAAAACTTTAACCGAGAAATTGTGTGAGAAAAGTCCCAAACACGTCCAAAATTTAAAAAAAATGGAAATTATTTTCCCAAATTAAATCCATATTGTCCTTGTTAAACCCCACATGAACATCCATTCTGTACACCACTGAAGAAACTTGCACCAAAACTTTAACTGTCCAAAATTTACAAAAATATAGATCTATTTTCAATGTTTCTGGCCTATAATAAATTACTGCAGTTGTGGGATCGCACAACGTTACATGATGTGCAGTGTGCGCACGATGTGTGCACGATAACAATTTGGGCGATCATATCTTGCGCACATTTGTGTGCACGATGGACGAACGTTGTGCGATAACAATCATGGTTGTTGTAAATTGAGGAATGCCTTATCAATATATACGGTTTCGTGTTTAAACATATAAACCTTGATTTTTACGTATGTTTCTATATTCTACCTACACCTATAAACTTATCTTTATATCTATTCTTTCTTAAATTTAGAAATTGTGTTTTCGGTATATTTTAAATGACCTTAATCGACACCTGTGAAATCACAACACAGTCCCGTATACAGGTAAACATAGCCACTAGCCGTCTACATGTACCTGGACGGTAGTTTTCCCCCGCCCGGGGTGCTTACCTATATCGTCGGGGAGGCCAGGGGTGTGAAAACACAGGTGAAGGGGAGCTATAGGCAAACCGAATGCAAATAATAAATACTAAACGTCCAGCTGTGTTTTCATTACGATCATACGGTATCGCATATCAGCTCTATGTGTCAGGTACAGGCCAGGTCAAACCCCGGTAACTCATCAAATTGTTATTTACATATTCTGTTACCTTGGCGCGAAACCCATTCTTGACAGTCTAACGGTCACTGTAAGGCTGTGTTACACGCATTGTAAAACTGTACATAATCTTCATTACTGTGATGAGAAATTACAATAATACATACAGTTTTCATTATTGCATACAAGCTTTCCGTATTTTTTTCATTCCGTAATATTGATCTACAAATTGTACCCAATCGCACAGTTGTGCAGATAGAAGCGCACAACAGGGCGAACGTTGTTAAATCGCACAGTTGTGCGCACCATGTGTGGATGATGTGCGGACGGTGTGTGAACAATGTATGCACGGTGTGCGCACACTATTTTTGGTGCGTTGTGCGGTCACACAACTGTAATACAAATCACTGTTTCTGGCCTATAATACATTACTGATATAAATCACTATTTCTGGCCTATAATACATTACTGATATAAATCACTATTTCTGGCCTATAATACATTACTGATATAAATCACTGTTTCTGGCCAATAATACATTAGTACTGATATAAATCACTATTTCTGGCCTATAATACATTACTGATATAAATCACTGTTTCTGGCCTATATCACATTACTGATATAAATCACTGTTTCTGGCCAATAATTCATTACTGATATAAATCACTGTTTCTGGCCAATAATACATTACTGATATAAATCACTATTTCATGCCAATAATACATTACTGATATAAATCACTGTTTCTGGCCTATATCACATTAATGATATAAATCACTGTTTCTGGCCAATAATTCATTACTGATATAAATCACTATTTCTTGCCAATAATACATTACTGATATAAATCACTATTTCTGACCTATACTCACTATTTCTGACCTATAATCACTATTTCTGACCTTTAATACATTACTGATATAAATCACTATTCCTAAAACACTCTGATTTATAAATTTCAAGTGGTGGCATGTTTTTCACTATTGTAAATTAAGTGCTACCTCTGTAGATCCCATGGGAAAGAAGTGGCCTGCAGAATCCTAATGCATTAATGTATGAGGTGACTAATGTTGGGGTCCCTGCAGATTCAGGGATATTCTGTGTCTTCCAATAACAATAAGACAGCAATACTTATCTCGGTCTGTTTACTGTGACATTTTTCTGCTCCATTTTCCTACCATTTGTTACTTGAGTCAGGGAGACTCTTTGACTGATTTTCTACAATACGGCACTGTACAGGGCTAAAACGATATGCATACCTCACGATACCGTACGTAGCGCGGTAAAATGCTTAATACAGAATTATACTTACCATGATACACACACTTGTTTGAAAAGTCAATTTCATAATAATGAATTTAAGTGAAGGATTTAGATTTAGAGTTTTGTCATTGTGTTTAAAACAGATCTATCATAATATATCACTTCATGATTAAAGTAGTTTTAGGTATGATTGTACAGTGGGCCACATCTTTTCTACGAATTTAATAAGAAATGTTATTGATAATTTCACCACTGTTAGAGTACCATGATACAATATGATTTGGGAAATTGTTCAGAAAAGCCTCCCCCCCCCCCCCCCCCCCCCCCCCCCCCCCCTCCCCCGTGCTCGAGGGAGAAGAAAGGCTCACAAAATCTCAATTAATTGATAAAGAATAAATTCTGCTTCTAAAATATTTGTCTTAAATGTACAAGTATCAATACTATACCTGCTGATATCCTATTCCTCGCGCGACACCTGTCCTCCCAGAATTCCTTGGGTGTCTTGGAGACTGGAAACAATCGCTTTGTGTAGGTCACTTCCTGATGCATTCTCATTGGTCAGATCTATAACATTTCCTGTAGTCAATCAGAGCATGGTGGATAACTTCTGCCATCCTATACAAAGCTCCTTTAAATCATTGGGTTTTCACATGATAATCAATTAAAGTCTATATAAAGTTACCAATCTGGCCAGAAATAGTTCAGAATGGTAGTGTACTCAAATTGTCTTACTTTTCATTTACCTGGTGTTGGTTCTCCAACTAGTGGTGCGTGGCTGATCATAATTTGACTCAGAAATTTAAAAATTAATTGTGCCAAGTTTGATAAACCTGATAAACAACCGTCACAAGTTGATGGAAACCTTTTATACCACACCGTTAATATTGTATTAATACAACAAAATTAAATCAAATCCTTCGTTCCATTCCTCATTTTTACTATCCTTGATACTCCAGGGGTTACGCTCACTTATTTATGCTATCTGCATCTCTGAAAGATGTCAAGGCAAAATTGAAGGCAAGTTAGCAATTTGATTGGTTTCAGGTAAAAGAAACCCTGATCACCAATCACTCCACTGATTCCTGTCCTTTGAATATTACATAGCAGCGACACCTGTCTTCAAAGTCAGTCAATATTACTGTTGCGCTGCTGTGCAGTTCTTTATATGTAAATCAAAGGATCTGCCTACTCTAAGTTGTATCACCCACTAGGTGGTGCATATATATATATATACAGAACCTGCAATTTACGGTCTTCTTGAAATTTTGGTAGCCATTCTGGGCAATTCTTTTTCTTATTTATCAGATAAATCAGCTACCTTTAAACATGAAATCAAAATTTCCAACAAGTAGCTGATCGTCCCAACAACTTACCACTTTTCCTTGCTGTAGCCCCTTGTGTACCGGCCTCCTGTGTCCCCTGTGTGGTGGTTTCCCGATCAGCGGGAGTAGAGCGTGGCCTGGCATCTGCAGTGGTTGTCCCAGACTTCAAGTCAGTGGCTGCATTTTCTTGTACAACTATGGAAGGTACTGCTGTCACGCCGGACTATAAAATCAAAATTACACTAATTCACATTTCTGATCAGCACTTATAACAAGCCTACTTTCCTACTTTATGCAATTTAGAAAAAAAATAGATAAAACTTTTTTTTTAACCGAATCAAAACTAGGTGAACCCATGGTAATGAAAAAGTCTTTTTTTTAAAATTCATCAGGAACAATTCTGATGATTTTTCAATATGACTTATTTATACTGAAAACAGCTTTTTGCTACCAGCCAGCCAGCCAGCCAGAGGAATATGTGTTAACAGCAGAATACCATACAAGTAATAGCTGTTTTTTTCTGTTATGTATTTTTTGATGTCCTACTGTTTTGTACTGACTGTTTAATCTCTGTGTTATATGTTGTGATATATGTGATTTTTTATTTTTCTGTCTTTGATAAAGGGGCACATTGTGTTGAAAATCGGACCAATTCCTTTGTCTGTACTGTTATTATTATAAATTTAACTAAACTGCTGTAAAGAGATGATGAACCAACGTAAATTGTAATAACATGAATATTTCTTACATTGCAGAATTCACCCAGACACTGGTTAGAATCACTCAACCCTGTTTGTTACATGTCCTTTTTAAACTAAGTAAAATCTAAAATTAACATCCGAAAGTGGATACATTTATATTATGGGATAAATGTTTGAGAGTCATATATAAAGTTTTAAGCTCTAGCCTTTAGCTTTAATTGTTATAATTTTCCGGGAGCGAGATTTGTTTGTCGATACTATGACAGGTTGACATTGATATCCAGATATAAATCTATGTTTCTGTTCCTGGGCTGGTTCTCCACTTTACTATACATCAAAAGCATTGCTTATTCCTTTTTTCTCATTTCCAATAGGTACCTATCCCGCACAGCGTTTACAGAGTAAATCACTTACAGCATCCACACAGGTCTGTCAATCAAGGTAGGGTGCTTTAACTCATTCACCCCTGAAATTTCATAATGAACTATTTCAACCTTTAATTTGGAAGAGTTCAAATGTGTATTCAGGGTTGAAGGAGTTAAGAATACATTTAGGCAATACTAGTCTCTCGTCCCCTACTATTTATGCACAGTCCTGATTTACAACAATATGTCACACGTGTAAAATACTAGCCGATTCCTACCGACTCGGCAAGGGAGAGTTTCTGTTTAGCTCAATCAGTACAGTGTGTGACTTAAGTAAACTAGAGGACCCGGGTTCGACTCCTAGCGGAGGCATTGAAACAATAATGACCTCTGTTACAAACATATACTGCTCTGATTGAATCATTCAAAGATAAGGTAAACACTGAAAGTAGGGATTACTGGAACATGTTAACTTGAGTCATTACTATACTCATTATGTACACTAAGGAGTCAACAATTGCTACAAGACAGCAGTGGTTTATTTGCTCAATTTTACTGCCGAATACAGACTGTTTCCCCTTGCTAAAAAAAGATATCCAAAAACCGAGGAAAATATTCTCAATTTCAGTACAAATAGTGCTATACTTTTCCCCCCAATTCATAAAGGAACAGATTGTTGGAAATTTTAGGTAACAAAAACACTGGACAGTTGCTCTGTGAGAAACATTATAAAATATCATTCTTTAACAAGCTTTTAAGAAGTTTCATATTAATAATCAGACGGAAGTTTGGAACCAAAACAAGTTTGAGTTTTATTTTATCATAATCTCAACAGGGTGTACAATTCGACTACAGTCCGACACTCGGATCTAGTACAAAGATTTTATGTTGTCAAGCATGTGTGTGAGACCTCGCGGGAGACTAACAACATTCTACTACAGTACTACCGGAATAGAAGACTGATATAGACTCAGCCTGTTGTCCGATCCTTTTGTTAATACTGTACTAACATCTAATTTAATATATACAACTTATATGTTTGTATTATATATATATTTATGTATTGTCAATAAAATACTTTTGAATTGAATTGAATATTGAGGCTTGTGAAATTTTTCAGTATAAATTTACTATCTGAAAAGTATAGGCTGGGCTTTTCAAAATCAACCTGCAGGCTACTGAGGCGTGTATCTTAATATTCTGAACTATGAAATTGCACACCCTTCTTCATGAAGACAGACAGCAGGAGTACAACTTCATGTGACCATACTGTAGCAGCCAAGGAATAAAAAGGGAAATACTGCCTCACTGCAGCTGTGTCAATAAGACATAGCATTTCCAGCAACGAAGCGTAACCCTGGGACTTCTTCATGTATGTACATCAAATTGGGCGACAGTGAACAGATGGGTGATGTGCCCTCTTGCCCATTACATCGGGTGGCCATGGCAACACCATGACCCTTGAGTACATACCAATTACAGTGTTTCAAGTCTGTGAGTGAGATTTTTTGGAGAAGGAAAAAGTGTAGCAGCCAGTTGTAAGAAAGTATAAGGGGAAGATACTGCCATACTGCTGGTAAGCTAGCCTTCTAGAGAAGAAGTATATATAACCCCAGGGACTCAATAATTAAATCAGTAAAAAAAAAGGGACTCACTCAATAAAAACTGTTAAATTAACATGTGGAGCCAAGGGTTCATAAGAACAATTTTCCACAAGATTTCTTAATTCAAAAGTGGTCAAGTGACTTATATGCCTATCAAAATATTTTTAGAATGTAATGCACATCACAACAGCTAAGAAAAGATAGGAGAAATCACCAGAGGCTAAAATATCCTAAAATGGAATGCAGAATGATTTTGGTTAATTAAATATCTTTATGCAGATGATCTTCACTCTCATCTAATTTGCATAACCTACAAAATGGTGTACGTAGCTTAGGTGCAAAGTTTTGAACAATTGAACACCTAGACTCCAATGTTGGTGATAATAAGGGTGATCTTAAATAAATAACCGATTTACCTAAAAAATATATATATATGGGTACGCCCATTGAAGTATGGAAGGATTGGATTTAGTCGATTTCAGGAAAGCCAAAATGATACAGATTTAATTTTGAGGGTACAGTGACAGGAGGGCAGATTCAGTAGTAGAACAGGAGGATATATGATATCTGGTGGGATCTTATATAATTATTCCACTCAGATATTGATCGTGGAAAGAAGTATTGTTTTCTGACCTGGGTTCTGCAGTGTGGTATATAGTTGGAATGACTGGTGATGGGCATGCCTTGATTGCCTGGTTGCTGGTATTAGTCTAGTGTGTTTACTAATACTCATGATTGTTTACAATTTTTAACATCCGTCATACATAGGCTTGTGTAATAGAGATGGGTCTTAACCCAACCGGTCGGGTCGCTACAAAACATGTTAATGTAAACGATAGTGTCCGAAATCTGGTGCAGAGTCGGGGTCAACCTACCGGGGATGTTTTCTGCTATCAGGACGGTGCACTGTGACCTGAAATGTCATTTTCGGGTGAGTGAAGATGTCGCCCTCCATAGCGTTTTGTCAGCGAAATCGAAAGTAGGCTGCACGAGATCTTTACTTCCGGGCGTGCTCTAACGGGAAAAACAACTTAGATCAGGGCAGTCAGACGGATTCTTTTCCGGAGAGTGCCACGGCATAGTTCTAGAAGTAAGCAGTTATAATAGGTGTTAGGATGGGAGGGGGTGGTTTATATATTTATCGTTAGTTCATGATCAGCCTGGCTGTGTTATGCGGTGTTACATGTACATAATGTATGTGTCATTAGTGTGTACGTGTGCGGCGCGTGTGTGTGAGTTATGTCTGTGTAGCCTTGTGGTCTATCATCTGTACATAATTCATCATACATCATTGTTAATAAATATTATATAAACTATCCATTGGTGTCCTCTTATATATATATATATATCAACCCAACGACAGCACTATACCCATCGAAACTGGGTTGACAGTAGATATAGGCGTTTATTGTTTGTTTGATTTTGTTTAACGTCCTATTAACAGCTAAGGTCATTTAAGGACGGCCTCCCCTGTGTGCAAGATGCATGCGTGTAGTGTATGTGTGTGTATTTTTTGGAGGCTGCGATATGTTCGTGTTTGTCTCCTTGTGATAGCGCGGAACTGATGCTGACTTTATAGTGCTACCTCACTGAAACATACTGCCGAAGGCACCCAGCAGGACGCCCCACCCGGTCACATTATACTGACAACGGACGAACCAGTCGTCCCACTCCAAATTTGATGAGCGTTAAGCAGGAGTATAAACTACCATTTTTTAAGACTTTGGTATGTCTCGGCCAGGGGACAGAACCCAAAGCCTTCCTCACAGGGCGAACGCTCAACAAATGGCCAAAAGTGAGGCATTGTCAAGGGAGACATTAGGGAAAAAAGTTATTTAGAGAGGAGAGAAGAGATAAGGTCCAAAATTTAGTCGCCTCTTACGATCATGCAATTGGGGGAAGCAGGTACAATTCTTACGCCCTACCTGCAGGGCCATGCGGGACCTGCTAACAAAGAACAAACTTGTATCGACCTATAAACGACAGAAAATATAATCTTGCAAACAAAACGGCCCTTTTTAGGACCACCAAAGTCTCTAAAAGGGCCCATTGGTGCTCGAAATTACGCACTTCACCCTGTCCCGTCCTGGCTGTCCGCTCTGAATTACGCATTCCAACCCCTTAAAAGGGTGTTTCTTGCTCTGAATTACGCATTCCCTGTCCAATATTGTAAAAAAGCACCCATGTTTAAATTGCAATTATAGTGTCTTATTTAAATATAATTGTTATTCATTTTATAATGTCTAAGTGTCTCTAAATTGGCTGGACAATGTATACAGTTTATAGATTATCATACGGCTATTGGTCTGTATAAATATTGTGTAACACTAATTAACAAAAAGTTACCGACCTATATATATCCGCTCGGAAATACGCATCACTAAACGGTGTATATATATGTATACGCACCCGTAATTTGATACAGTATTGTATTTCTTGGTCCATGTGACATATGTAGGGATGATTTGCGCATGCGTGCGTTTGAATGGTTGTGTTTTTCCCAGCTCTGAGAATATCCAAGTTTATTTCTACATTTCTTGACTTGAACAACTGAGATATCCACAGAAGATCTTGATGCAGGTGGTGAGGCTCGATTTGATTCATATTTGGTGTTTTTGAACATGTTGTGTAATGAGAGTAACCCTCTCGACTCGGCCGTCTCTCTCTCGTTCGCTGTCGCTGTAATGGCGCGCGCCTTTACCTGTAGAACAGGTGCCCGACTCCTGCAAGGTTATCGACGCCGCTGACGCTATGGGTGATACATGTACACCAGCACGTAAACGTTACAGATCTTCTGATTTCTTTCTTTTGGAAAGTGAGTTGTACAATAAAAAAATGAAAATTTCAAATAATGACCTGCTTGATCTACCCAGCCACCCCCCGCCCGTGTTGACTCTCCTGGTCTTGTACGTGTCGAGGCACTAGTAGTACAGTTGACGGAAAACATGAGTAGTATGCACTCATTGTTTTCGAAAAAACGTGACAATTTTGAACATAATGTGATGGAAAATATGGCAGATGTTTTGGATATCAAAATAAAATCCGTAATCAACAGTTTACAGATGGACATGAACTCAAAATTAAACGATGAAGTTGAAAACCTAAGACTGGAGTTTGAAAGGAAATTAAGAGCAATGAAAGACATTTGTATATCTAGTGACGGGAACACTACGTTGAACGTGCGTTGCGGATAGGTTGCTGGAGTACTACGGTAGTAACGATACCTCTCGTTTTCGCGAACACTTAATCAACGGTTGTGAACGAGATATCATAGGTCTATGTGAGACCTTCCTTAAAAACTCGGAGAAAATCAACATTGATGGCTACTCCTATAGGGCGGAACAGGACCAGTCTCCATAAAAACGCGAAACGTGGATCCGGTGGTGTTTTTTTTTTTTTACTACATAACAGTCTGTTCGATCGTTTCCAAATTGAAACTGTTGATGACTTAAATGAAGGTATATTATGGATCAAACTTGAAAGTAATTACTCTAAGTTTAATATGTTTGTATGTATCATTTATTTGCATCCAGAAAATAGCACCAGGGCAATTGACCCCGCCAACTTTTTTAACACTTTACTTCATCAAATCAGTATGTATCAAGCCCAGGGTTATCTCTGTATAATGGGTGATTTTAATGCACGAATTGGAGATCATAGCACGGACTTAGATAACAGGGATTGGCAACACCACTCTCGTCTAGCGTATGTATTGTCCACCTCTTGTATTTGTGCACCGAACCGTGACGACTTGTAACCCTCTCGCTGAAGCCAATTTACCTGTACTGCGCTTGCGTGTGACCTAACAGACAAGTTTCCGGTATCGATAACCACGTTGTTTACCTAGGTGATGAGAGACCGAGAATGTGACACTGATTTGACAGATCAGTACACAGTGTAACAACCATGACTAAAACAATAGAAAACGAATGCATACACGTGATGATGTCGCAAGCATATCTGTTCATGTC